CCCAGGTAAGGGGAGGTCAATCCTGTACCACTCATCCTGAGGCCCAGCAGGTCCAAGTCCCAGTAGCCAGACAGACCCAGGTCATGGTGGTGCAAAGCCCCACTTTGCTGGCAACCTTTCTGTTTGCCCAAGAAGAGGAAAACAGGTGGTGGCCTCCTTGTCTCCTCTCAGTCCAGCTCAACTGATGGGAGGGTCCATGCAAATCCTTTTGTTATAGCAAGTCAGGACTAGAACAATCAACCCTGTGGTGTGAGTTCCAGCCAAGAGCAGCCATGCTACTAAAGGGACTTGGAAATCAGGATCCCCTCTTGCTTATGGTCTGGACCTTTGAGTTCTTGGCTCTTGCTGTGATTGCAGTGATGTCTCCTAGGACTCAGAAAGACTCTGATTCAACTCATAGACAGTGGGAGTTCAGGATCAATTCCACTTTTTCATCTGCACCCAGATGGGACTGTGGAGAATCCTTTCCCTTCTTCCCACAGGTGTGTGATCATGTGCAGCTGCTGAGATCAGAGAACCAGGTCAAGATGTTCTACTGTCTCCATCTGCTTGGTAAGGAGAGGAGACTGCAGGTGACATGGAGGTTTCCTTCAAACCTCCATGCACTCTGCCAAACCCTGGAAGGGGGAATGAGAACAAGGAGTGCTGAGGTCACTGAGGTTGTGCTCTTCTCCCCTGTAGCCTGTCTCTCCCCAGACCAATGTATTTTCCTTGCGGGCTCCCAGCTCAAGACCGACAAGGAGGCAAGCCATGTGGCATCCCTCTTAATCTTTAGTGGCATCATTGCTGCTGACTGTAAGTGTGACCAGAGCAAACGTGTTGACTGCTGTCTTGGCTGACCCTTCAGGAACTGAGTTAGGACTGTCCAGGATGAATAACCTGTCTTGCTCTAGCTGTGCTCAAGAGCCCTAGCTGTGAAGAGCTACAGCCAGACCTCCGTCCTCTGCTGCTTGGTCACAGAGGGCCAGTAGCACCCTGAGTCCTGCTGGATAACACAGGAATGCTGGGGCCAAATCCTGCTTAGACACCTTTCCTGGCAGCACTCTGAAGTCAAGTGGTTTAACGAGACCTTTGTTATGGCCCAAGAAAACAAGACCTTTGTTATGGCCCAAGAGCAGGGCCTATCATAGGGGGGGCCAGGAGGGTCATTTGGCCTGGGCCTCTCATTCATGGAGGGCCTCAAATGTAGACTTTTGATGTTATTTCCAAATGAGGTTATACATACAGATACAGAGATACACTGACAGGATTGAAAAATGAAGATGTTCATCATACAACTTTAAACTTGTGACCCATTACTGGGCCACACTGCCTGTAGTGCACTATGAATTAATATTTTTTTTATATCGGGAGCCTCAAAAAATGGAAGTGGCCCGGGTCTCTCTCAACCTCTGAGAGGGCCTGCCCAAGAGACTTTACCAGAGTCCAGAGTAGAGACAGGAGGTTGTGCAGGTTGCACAAGCAGGTTTTTTGCAACCTGGGTGCATCTTGCTTTAGAGGGTGAGCTCCCAGAACACAGCAATATTGTGCCTTCCATCTCCTTTCAGTGCTGGAGATGAGCAAGAAAAAGTGGGAACTAGTCAAGGCCATGAGGTGCACACTTGGTGATCAAAGTACTGAGGTGAGGTGATTTGTGAGTAGTGGCTGTGCTGGGGATGGCACATGGACCTGACATAAAATTCCCACCTGAGATTATTGGTTCTCTTGTAGAGAAAACCTTTCTTCCCTATCAGTGTCTTCAGGGAAGGCAGTGCAGAGAGTCTGCTCCTCTGCTTCCAGAGATGGGCAGAGTCGGGACTGAGGGAAGTGTTATCAGGTTGCCAGTGGGGAGGGGATCTGCTTTCCCTCAGATGCCAATATGCGACCACTGAGTAGCAAGGATGCAGTGTTCTCTTGCCTTTTTATAAACCCTAGAAATAAAATTGGAGGCCTGGGGACCCTTCTCCCTCCTTGTTAACCTTTCCAAGGTTTGAGGCAGGATTTGTGGCCTTGGCCAGTCCCCGCCATCATTTGGACATAAGGGCAGTCCTGACTCCAGTCTGTCCTCTCCTCCCTTCCAGGTGAAGAAGGCCGTCCACCATTTCAACAGGACACTGCTCAATGTGCAGGGCCTGGATGACTGGGCCTGGGATTTAGTAGCCTAATTTTCAAGCAGTTCAGCTTTTCTAGCAGCCAAATGGTAAGAGAAATTGGGGGTGGAGACTTGGTGCTGCTGTCGTAGCAGGCTGAAGCCTGCCATTGGCTTGAGCAGGAGCTTGGGGTGCCCCAGGGCTGCCAGCTGAGTCATTAGAACCAGGGTCAGACCATTTCCACTGGTACAGAACTAAGAGAGCTCTTGTGATGTCAGTGCAGCTACTCTGGATTTTCCTCAGGGTGTCAGTGAGACCAGACTCTGATCTGGATTATGTACATCTTCTGATGAGGCTGAGATTTGCCCCTTCAGGTACTGAGGAGTGAAGACACTGACCACACAGTCTGTCAGAGAAACTTCCTTGAGAACAGCAATGCTCTCTTGTAGAAATAGACTCCCAAGAATGTGTCTTGGTGCCCAGGACATAGCTTAGCCCATTGATAGAATCACATTGACAAGATGCAGAGGATTGAGCTGGCTGGGCCTGCAGAGCAGAGTGGGTGTGTGATGCCTGTACATTTGGCCACTGGACTGAATCTCTTGGAAGAATGAGGGAAATGAATACTTGGCAGGTTTCAAAACATAACCCACTCCCAGGCCCCAGAAACACTTTGTGTCCAGCGAGTCACAAGGAGGACCCAAGTAACTATAGGCCCATAAGCCTCTCCTCGGTCCTTGGGAAGATCTTGAAGAAAATCATCAAGGAGCACATTTGTGGGGGGCCAGCAGGGGAGATCATGCTCAGGG